AGACCATTACCCTCCTCCTCTCTGTGGGTAAGCTGGAGACATGTGGCCCAACTGACCACATTTATAACAAGTAACATCTCCGTGACCACTCCTCCTAGACTCGAACTCGATACTGGAAAAGTGGACCACGATTGAGCTCCCTGGGACGACTGGGGGTTAGAACCCCTCTGCCTCTTGCTGTCCCCCTGATTATCCTGACTCCTCCTAGAGCCTCTCATTCTTTCCTTCTTCATCTGCATAATGGCCTCGAGATGGGTCGTCGCCTCCACAAGGCACCCATAATCTCTAATCATGGATCTGGCCACTCTAAACATGAGCCCGGTCCTCAATCGCTTCTCAAACTCTAAGCAACGACACTCTTCAGTCGCCATAAGCTCAAGTGCAAACCTAGACAAGCTAGTAAAGGTGGCCTCAAACTTGGCCACTGGTGTGTTCAACTGCACCAACTTAGAGAACTGGTCCCTCAATTTCTCCTTAACCATGGAAGGTAGAAACTTGTCCTAGAAGGCGTTGACAAAAGCCTCCCAAGTTACCCCAATGTGTCCAAGCGCATACTTCCACCATTGACCTGCATCTCCTTTCAGCTGGAAAGATGCCAAGGTCACCCTCAACTGGTCGTCCTCGATGCCAAGCATCTTGAACGTCTTCACTATTTGCTCTAGCCACTCATCTGCCTTCAATGGCTCCTTAGGATCACCCAAAAACTCATCCGGATTTGACCAGAAAAACTCTTTCTTAAAAAAAGATGGCCATGCCTCAGCTACTTGGGCCTGGACTTGATTCTCAATTCTGAGAATGTCTATAGATTTTCGTAATGCTCTGGCCATTTCGCAGGCCAAGGCACCCATGGCCTGTTGACCCACTGGTTCAGCCACATTGGCCTGACCAACTCCCTCCTCTTGTGCCGAAATATCATCTGGTATGAGCACCTCATGCCTTCTAGGCCTACCACACCTACCACCACCATGTCCTGACATCTAATGAAGGTAACACAAGAGATTAGCACATTTACAAATGTGCCGAAGCTAACTCACTCGCATCCCAATACATTGGACAATAGTAATTCACTCCATATAAGCACGTAGTCATATAAACACATACGAATTTCCTTCCTAGATAATGACCGTCCCACAACGTTACTAGAGTTCCAATTAGAAACAACAGTGATCAAGTGCTCTTCTAATAGGACTTCTAAAAACCCATAGACATCTTAGAAACTAAATCTCATATCCATATAATCATATAAGCATGTTATCACATAAGCATACAATACTTACTAATGTCTCAACTAAGCGAGGCAAACCCATTATGGTAACAACCACTTCCTACGTACCCAAAGTATTCAAATCCGGTACGTTCTGATACCAAGTTGTAACGCCCCCAAAATTATACAATAAATACAACCCATAAGCCGAAAAATAATAGAAATAATATACTTTCATTCAATAAAGATAGTATACAAAAGATAACACATGCGATATACATTCACAAACTGAAAACTACAACATGTGTTACAATGATAAGAAAACTAAAAACTAAACAGATAATCATATGCCCTATAGGCTTACATCTTTCCAAGTCATTGCTTGGTTACAACAAAATGAGCCTAGGTCAATACAATTAAAGCCCTTGGCTATACAAAAAAAAAAAAAAAAAAAAAAAAAAAAAAAAAAAAAATACACAAAAGAAAAAAGCTCTTGCCCCCAAATGTCCCTTCAAACTATTGCCTTAGCGGAGGTATATCACCAACACCTGAAAATGGTTTTTCCCAAATAGGGTGAGCTAAAGCCCAGCATGAATAATCTAACACAATATATGAGATTTAACAAAGATATAAGTACAATGTGTATATGCAATGCCTGTGACAAAACATTCACATTTTTATATAATCATAAAGTACCAAGTTCATATCTTATTCCATTTTCCTTCAATTCATTTCAATCATGAGCCAATTTCATTGTCTTTCAACAACCCAACTAAGACTACAACTCAATGGTTATCTAATCAACACAATTACCACACAAACACTTCAATCTACCATTTTACGAAAATTTCGTCTGTGGGATTGGCAAGCATGTATACGCGCGGTTTCGGGACTTTTACCTAAGACACTCCGGCCAAATTAATTTCAATGGAGTCCATCCCCTATCTTCTTCCAAACATAGAGTACATCCCCTTTCTCTTCCCAAACATCATACATATACAATGTATTTAAAACATAATCATATTCAATAACAACCAACAATAAATTAGTTTTAATTCACCTAATCCTCATGCAATTTCTACAACAATTATAGCTATCTTCCACCGATAGCCCAATACAGTTATTTCTAAACAGACATTCAATTTCAAGACAAATAATTTATTCAAAATTTCCAAAGGCGTAAGCTAATACATATCCAACTCCACTATCTATTTCAATATTCGTCCAATTTCATATTTACAACACTAATTCTATTTATTTATACAAAATAAATATTTAAATCATTTTAGGGCAAACTTCCTTTTTCCAAATATCAACCTAAGGCCAAAATCAACTATTTTGTAACCACCACCTTATATTTAACCTCATAACCATTTCCACAACATACATTTAGAAACCCCTCTTTTGATTTTACAACCCAAACCCTAGGTTTGTCCATAATACACCCAAAGCCCACTATTGTTACACAATCATCAAATAACTAAGTTAAAACCCATATGAAAGTGTAGAAAATCCCTACCTCAAGCTTAGAGGACCAAAGCAACAAAAGAGAAGTTCAAAGAGGTCGAAACCAACTTCTACTCGAATCAAAACGGAGCACTTAAGACGCCCTACCTTTTTCTCAAAGGCACTAGGGTGAAAATCCCAATGGATCTAGGTGGAATAGTAGAGAGAAGATGAGTTTAAGAGAGAGAAACTCAAGATCTCGATTTTTGGAAAGTTTTAGAGAGAGAGAGGGGAATGAAAAAGTGATGAAAAATGTCATTTTCGCGATCTGTTATACACACAGTCCACTCGAGCGTGAAAAGTGATGCTCAAGCGTCAGACACATTGTTCTGCTCAAGTGCAAGAAGTGACGCTTGAGCGTAGAATACACACTTTCAGAAGTTTTGCAGACAAAGGGCATCGTTCGAGCTCAAGATTAGACGCTCGCTCGTCCACCCACTCAAGTGTAGGAAACACCGCTCGAGCGTAGAATACACTTATCCAGTATTTACAGGTTTGCGAAAATACTGAGAGTTTGCAAAGGCCGCTTGAGCGCAAAAATGGCCGCTCGAGCGAAGGAACAAAAATCTAGGCAACAAAGGTTTAGAAAAACAAGCAACCAACCTGTTCCAAACACACAACTACAATCCAATAACCAAATTTAAGGGGGATTAAGAAGAAAAACAACAATGAACAACATTCAGAAACTATAAGCCCGAGTCCGAAATGCAACAAGACTTGAGTCAAAATCAAAATAGCTATAGAGCCAGAGCGTAGATCGGAACTTTAGTTGTTGTCTAGGGATGAGGTTTTGGAGCAATTGGAGCATGTTCACTTGATAGTATTTGGGAAGATAGAAGAACGTGGAAAGAAACAAAAACGTTCTCCTCAATATTTAAATTGGATAAGGAGAAGCATCTTCTTTGAGTTACCTTATTGGAAAACCCTCAAAGTTCACCACAACCTCGATGTTATGCACATTGAAAAGAATATATGCGATAGTGTGATGGGAACATTGATGAACATTGATGGAAAAGCCAAGAACCCATACAAGGCTCGTCTTGATCTAGTGGCTATGGGTATAAGCGCACGGATCCTCTAGAGTTAATTCTCTAGAGTGATCTCCTAAAGTACTTGATCGAACGGCTCAGAATAAAACTCACCAAAACAACGTCGTTTTGGTGAGTATTTTGAAAAAAAAAAAAAAAAATCAGATTTTTTGAAGCTTTTTTTGCAGATCAACAATGGCTTCAATTTATTATCATCATCACAACCCAACAACCCAAATCAGATTAACTCTTTCTCTCAAATCCATTCTCTCCATCACCCTCCTCATTCTCTCTCTCTCCTCCCCCACTCTCTCTCTCCATAAACGACTTCACCAAATCCGACAAATCCACTGCCGTCTCCGGTGGCGAGTACTCGCTTCCACTACTCTCGCAGAACCTAGCGCGCCACTTCATCAAACGCCTCTGCCACCCTCTTAAACCTCGCTGCCATTGTTGATCTGCAAAAAAAGCTTCAAAAAATCTGAATTTTTTTTTTTTTCAAAATACTCACCAGTGGGGGGCGAGAGAGAGAGAATGAGGAGGGTGGTGGAGAGAATGGATTTGAGAGAGAGTTATTGCTGTGATACGGAGTTGAAAGAGAGTTCGATTGGGTTGTTGGGTTGTGATGATGATGATGAATCAAAGCCATTGTTGATCTGCAAACAGAGCTTCAAAAAATCTGATTTTTTTTTTTCAAAATACTCACCAAAACGACGTCGTTTTGGTGAGTTTTATTCTGAGCCGTTCGATCAACTACTTTAGGAGATCACTCTAGAGAATTAACTCTAGAGGATCCGCTCGCATGGGTATAAGGCCTGAATTACACCCAAGGCAAGTAGATGGAAAAACTTTCCTACCTACTCCTTGCTTCATACTCTCACCAACTAAAAAAATGAGTTTTTGTAAATTCTTAAGTACAGTTAAGTTGCCAAATGGCTATGCATCAAACATATCACATTGTGTGAGCACTAGTGATTGTCGAATTACATGGTTGAAAAGCCATGATTGCCATGTTATCTTGCAAAGATTGCTTTTTGTTGCTTTACATGGACATTTGAAAAAGGATGTGAGCCAGGCTTTAATTGAGCTTTGCTTGTTCTTTAAAGAGTTATCGGCAAAAACATTGAGAGTTGATGTCTTAGAACAACTTAAGAAAGAAATTGTTTTAATTTTGTGCAAGCTTAAAAAGATATTTCCACCATCTTTTTCCGATATTATGATCCATTTATGCATACACTTATCACGTGAAGCAATCCTTGCAGGACCGGTGCAATACCGGTGGATGTATGCATTTGAGAGGTACATATATATTCTTAAGGGCTATGTGCGTAACAAAGCTCGTCCAGAAGGCTCTATTATTGAAGGTTACATTGATAATGAGGCTCTTACCTTTTGCTCTGTGTACTTCAACGAAGGTGAGACAAAATTTAATAGACCAGAGCAGAATTATGATGGGCCTATTAAAGCTACACAAGATGGAAACATTTTTGTATTTAAGCAAAAAGTACGTGGAATAGGAGCTGTAGTTAATGATGTGTTGAATTTAAAAGATTTGAAGAAAGCTCGATGGTATGTGCTGAATAATTGTGATGAAGTTCAACCGTATATGAGGTACGTAAACCACCATACGATTATATTCACTAGAAAAATTTTCTTTTTGAATTCTACTACTTTCACAACTATATGTGTCAAATAATGTTGTGTAATAATTTATAGGCAATACATGGATGAACTTGAGATATAAGGTTTGAGGAATGTTTAAGAGAGGCTAGAATCAAAGTTCCACATGGTTTCTAAAATACATAAGAGCTATAAATTTTTAACCTTATTTGTGCATTTAAATAATGTAGTTAAGTATATGCTAATACATTTCACATCATAAATGGAATTAGGTCACAAAGCAACGACTTGAAGGGACCATGGAAGCTTCCAATCAACTTATGAACGTAGCCTGAGGTCCTGATAGTCGAGTGATACGATACAGTGGTTGCATTATCAATGGAACCAAATTTCACACTCAAGATCATGACATGAACCGAAAAACTCAAAATAGTGGTGTGCTTGTTAAGGGTGACCATAAAGGAGAAGTTATTGATTTTTATGGAGTTGTTAGAGATATAGTCAAGTTGAAATATTTAGGGAGAAATCGGGTGTTCCTCTTTAAGTGTGATTGGTGGGATGTTGGCAATGAAAAAAATGGAATGAAATTTGATGATTATAAATATGTTAGTGTGAATGTTAAGAGAACTTGGTACAAGGATGAACTGTTTGTGCTAGCATGCCAAGTTGTACAAGTGTTTTATATGAAGGACGTGAAATTTGGCAACAATTATCGCGTTGTACAAAGAATAATACCTCGGGCAATATATGACATTCTAGTGAAAAGGGAAGAAGAGGAAGAGAAAGACGAAGAGGAAGAAAAAGACAATGAAGCATAATAAGAATTTGAATCATTTAGTCTTGAAAATGTAGTGCACATGGATAATCAACCCATAGAATTATGCGAAGAAGACATGGAAATGATTTGTGTTGATATTGATGGCGAATTCCATGAGGAGAAACTTGAAGATGATAAAGTCAATGATGATATGATTGATTATGATAGTGATGATAGTTAATGAAATTTGCTGCTATTTAATTTTCAACGACTTTATGGTTGCTTTTGAAATTCTAAATATATTGTTTGATTTCGTTGGAAATGCCCCTTTTTTGTATGGTTGGATTGATGGAATGATGCCAAGCTTTTTAACATTACATGCAATGCCTCCTTAACTCTATTCAAACTTAGTAGTTTGCATGCATGAATTGGGCATGGTTGGTTTGAAATACAGTGCTAAGTTTGTTGATTATGGGTCTTCATGTCATTTATAATTTTGTTGATTTTATGAATGCTTTGAGTGTTTTTCTTTTTTCTTTTTTTTCTTCAGATCTTTAACATGTAAATCTTGGACTTTTGTAGACCTTGAGCAGATACTGCAAGAAGTACAACACCGCTGGCTCCGTCCTGCTACAACAACACTATGAAGTTCTTCGAAACCACAAAAAGTTTCACTTGACACCAGAACCACCTGCTAGGCCACCAGGTTGTCACCAATACCATTCTTAGATGCTTGAATTGTTGATCATATTTATTTATTTTGGTTTTTAGGGTGAATTTGATTAAGTTTATGATAATTTTTGGATGAACACAGGGTCTTTGTTTTTATGCTTCTCTAAAGTATCATGCATGGTACCAATTTTAAAAATCTACTTGCAAAAGTTACAATGTTTTTATTTTGTATAGGCGCTGGCTTCAATTCTTTCAAACAATCATTTTTTTCTACTTATATAGTCATGTATTTTTTTTTTCTTCTCTCATTTTGATTTTTTACTCAACTCAAAAAGCTTTGAATCCCAAGTACTTGGGGTGGTTTCTTATTGTCTCATTTCAATCTATAAATTATTGCTTTGAATTCCATGTGTGAGTCACATCTTAGACCTTTGTGATGGATCTCACTTTTCTTGTGTTCTCTTAATTTAATGATGTTTACTGGAAGAATGCACTGCATGATTCTGCTTAATTTTTGGTTACTTATACTAAACCTAATGGGACAAAGTACAAATCATTATTGTGTTTTACTGTAGTATTAATTATGCATATACTGTCTATTAGTATATATGCATAAGTATGTATGCAGTGCAGAAATATATGATATATATACCCTCAGCTTCTAAACAGGTATGTCCACAAAGGCCAGAGGACGAGTAGGGTATGTACCTAGACCCCATGCCCCCACACCCCATGCATCCACTAAATCAGTTCGCTCATCCACTCAATTAACACCTGGACCCCATGCATCCATTAAATCAGTTCGATCATCTACGCTACACCCATTTACATCAGAATCGGTACATGAAGTTACATCACAAGTTTCACACTCAGATACTTCTAGCACACATTGCAGCATTGATGATTTGTAAATATTTTAAGTTTATGTTTTGTTTTGATTGGTGGTCTCTTTTTTTCAATCTATATATTAACATGATAATTTTTTATTATTTCTAGTAGGCACATCCAAGGGTAAGAGAGGACGTGGGAAATCATGAAGCCCCAAATTGGCCAAGCTAAAAAATCAAGGGGTGCAATTGCCTATTCAACTTTGTAAGGTTAGTGGACGACCATATGGTGAAGCATCTGAAAAATTTACCAGTGAATTAGGGATTGTCACTAGGAAATTTGCCCTACAAAATGAGCCATTGTGGACTGATATTAGTGAAGAGTATAAAGAAACATTGATTGCATACCTTCAGGTAAGTGGTACAATTGCTGAGATTTAGATTTCCTCTTCCCAATTATTTCCCTTGTAAATTTCCTCTTCCCAAATTATTTCACCAGGCATTTTGATAGCACTGTTTGTACCATTTATTTGTTTCTGCCACAATAATTAACAAGCACCATAAATAACTTTGAGGGAGCATAGTTTTGCTCAGTTGAAACTAGAAAGCTTAATGGGCTGCTATTCCCATCCACATCTTCTGCATGAATTTATTATTATTATAAATATATAGATGTATATATATACTGTGAGATGTGTGGCCTTCAGACCTTTTATGTTTCCACTAGTTGTGTGTTCTCTTCTACCAGAAGACACCATTGTCTGCTATCCTTCCTTACCAGAGCTATCTATGTCCTTTTCAGTGGGAACATAATCTTTACAAAGATAGAATCTTAAGAAATTAAGAAATTAAAATGGTAAAACATACCATGAACTTGAGCAAAGGAGACTTTGATAATAATACATGTTTTGTGCAAGAATTATTAAAGGAGTCAGTACTGAAGAGTATGGGGACCAAAATAAGAACCAGTTGATTTCTATATATGTGACTCACATGTGCAGCTATATAATTCTGTGCATTATCTTTCAATCTGCATAAGCAACCTATCAATTTTCATAAAACGAGAGAGAGGTAATGACCCCTTGAATGATCAATTCAATAATATCACTTCTTCATAATAACACCACATTATACACATTCAGAACTCTTTTTTAATGTGCTTTAATTTTTTCTTGTTTGGTATGACAAGAAGGTTTTAAGTTTACCAATGAACCGTATGATATCGAATCTATCCTCAATTTGATGCATGACCTATATAAGAGCTATCGCCATGACCTACAACAACACTTTAGAAGTTTTCCTACAATGGAATCTACCCTTGCGGATCCACCTGAAAATATGGAAAAAGAGGTGTGGAGGTTCTTGTGCGAAAAGTGGTCTGACAAGGACTATAAGGTAACTTTGTCAATCTTGTCTCATTTTCTGTCAAACACAGTGGTTTAACTATGAAGTGCTCCAATTCTTTGTAGAAACACAATGGTTTTAAATTCTATTTTTCCAAGCTAACCACCCAAAGAATTGGACTTTGGGTGGGATGTACTTAACCCAAATCAACCTGCTTGTGTTCAAAACACACACAATTTCAAAGCACATCATCTTGGGATAATCTGAGCTGACTCTCTTCTTATAAAACACTTTGTACTCTAACTTAATAATAAAACACTTTGTACTCTGATTTGGGATGTACTTAACCCAAATCAACCTGCTATCTCCAATTCTATATTTTCTGTAGATGAGAAATGTTTAATAATAAAAGAAACACTCTGTACTTTGACTTATGAATTTAATAATAGGTGAGATGTGGCAAGAATAAGTTGAATCGGGAGAAGTTGAAAGTCCTCCACACTGCTAGCTCGAAAGCCTTCAAAAAAGTGCAATATGATGAGGTATTAATTATAGAATCTATAATTTATGTTTTGCAATTGTAATTGAACAACGTAATCTATATTGATGTTTAATGTGTGCTATAAATGGCACAGTGAGACCGTGCCACTGGAGAGGAACTTGGACTTGTTGAGTTATACAAAAAGACGCATTTTAGTGAGAAAAAAGAGGCATGGGTGCATGCTAATGCTGAGATTAGACATGTAAAACATCAATTTTTACGTACTTTCGTTCTTGATATCCTTAATAAATTGTGGATGGATACTTAGTTTTATCTCAACTAATGATTATTGTAGTACAAGCTTGAAAAGCAACAAGACAAAGCTATTGAAGATGGATCTGGCTTGCTATCCGATGAGCAACTTTCTATTGAGGTATTTGGACAAAAATCTGGCTACGTTCGAGGTTTAGGGCATGGTCGAAACCAAGTACAACATTATCTGGAAAACGTACCTATGCCCAACTTGAGAGGGATAATGAGGCTCCTACAAGGGAGGTTAAAGAGCAACGAAGAATCAATAAGGAGCTGGTGGGAAGAATTCATATCTTGGAGTCCGATCGCACGGGAATACAATGCCAAAGTCGACTTCTTGATGCAGCAGATCAATCGAAGAGGACCCTCTATTGATTCTTCTTCTTAGTAAGTCATCTTCTGAGATCTACATTTGATTTCCTTTGTGGGTTTCTATACGACAGCATTAAGTAATTTACACATTATTCCCACATAAAAACACAACACTCACATATCAGAAGTCAGTACCCCATTTCTAAATGCATTTTTGTGCTTGCATATGTGTTTGCATACAGCTATAGATCTGTTGTGTTGATTATTTGATTAAGCTTATATAAGGAAGACAGGAAGTATAAACAAACTTCATGGATGAATATCAAATAGACCTGAGCGCCCTTTATAGTTGAAAGCAAAAGGATGAATACACACCGAATAGACCTGAGCATCCTTTATATTTGGAAGCAAAGGAGATTATTACACAAAGAGACCTCTAATTTTTTGTGCCAACATGAGATTAGAGATGAACATTGTTTTCCTCCCTAAACTCTTTAATCATGGCAGTTAGCATTTCACAATGGATATAAATAGAGTTTTCAGGAATAATTTAGACTGCTACTTGATTACTCAAGGCATCTTTCTAATTATAGCTAGTTAGTTTTCAGCTTGAGTTCTCTTGTTTTCATTAGCAAGACAATTTTTTGACAGTTCGTTACATATTGTTGTAATATAGTTTCTTAGTAGAAGAAATCTGTACTAATTTTATTGAATGATTACACTAAAAGACCACTTATGATAAGCCTGCACCTTTTTTTTTTCCTTTCTAATGTCATGTAATATTAATATGTTACTTCAAGCAGTGTGTCATTCATGAAAGGTAGTTGTGAAATTTTCACTTCCTTATACTTGAAAAAAACATGTTTCTTACACTATTCAAATTTTCCATTCCAAGTTAAATTCTCCCGACACTTCAACCATTCTATTTGAAGTTTTGGGCCATCAATTACAGTTCTCTCAGGTAATCAAGCTTTTGGTAGGCTGTTTGCACATTCCATTCTTTCCTTTTTTGGTGGACTTCCATAATGTTACTTCATAGTATGATTTTCTGGTCAAGTTTGCGTCTTTACCAATTGACCACATGAGTCCCACCCTTGGAGATGGTATTGGTTCAGAGTCTCATGATAGAATCCAATAGCTTGGCCTCAAAATGGAAATTTGTTGTTTTTCCTTCTTCATCAAGAAGGCATATCTCAAAATCCAGAGCATATATTGAATCTAAAATTGAATGCATTAGCTTGCTTGGAAATGTTTGTGCTACATGAATTACCTTTCTTTGTTTTTTTTTTTTTTTTTTATCAATAAATATCCATATATCGTCATGAAGAAGTTAGATTTGGTGGAGAGCTATTTCATCTTGGCAATTGTGATTAGATGTTAAAGGAATCCATATTTTTTATTTTATAAACCTTTATTCTTAATCTTTTGGCTTGGGGATGTTTTTCTTTTTAAATTTTTTCACTGCTCTCTCCTCCTTTTTTTTTGGGAGTGAGCGTTTGAGAAAGCATTATGTCTTCAATGTTTCTTATTATCATGTCTTGCAAGTTTGGTCTAAGATCTCAATTCTATGCAGGTCCTGCAAGCTTGCGTCGATTTGAAGCTTGGGAGCTCTTTGCTAGATTTTGAATGCCATTTCAACGAAGTATTTGAGAAGAAGATGCGATGAGTTGTTTTGTTATGTAGGTAGATATAACTCCAATTACAATCTGTTCATTGAATAGTTGAATGCTACAAATAATACTTATGACACTAGCTTTATAAATTGGAAATGATACTTTTGAAATCTCTGTCAATTTATGATATACAATCAAGATATTGCGTACTAATAAATCAGAACATGGTATTTGTTTGTTATTAAATGTGATAAGCCTTTTTTTTTTTTTTTTTTTTTGGTGTGGTTGAATTTTAATTTGGAGATGAATAGATGATCCAGTGATGTTTGATATTTTTTGTTTAGTTGTTAAGAAATCAAGAAATAAATATAAATTGATATTCAAACTAGTATTTTTAGAATAATTGTTACAAAATCAAAAGGCCAAAAAATATATATATTTATCAAACTTTTCGAGACCAATTTTAGTTGTATCAAAAAAATTATAACCTTTGCACACCACTTTTGATTTCCTGAAAACTAATTTAACCACCACTTTCATTTGTCCCAAAAACTAAAACTTTTAGAGACCACTTTCATTTGTCCCAAAAATTAAAACTTTTAGAGACCAATTTGTAATGTCTCAAAAATTAATTTTTTGTCTCCATAACTATTTCTTTTGCCCTTGGCTATAATTAGACATTTAGAGACAAATTTTGGTTGTCTCAAAATTAAAACTTTTTGTAATTACGTATTTTTGTCTCTAAAAGTCTATTTATAGTGACAAATACAAAATTTTGTCTCTAAAAGTCATTTTTTGCCTTTTTCGAATGGACCACTTGGGACAAACTTCACAACGGAGTAAATTAGTTGACTAAAGTTTTTCCCAACAAATATTACACTTTTAGAAATGGAATAAATTTGTCTCTAAAAAGTTGATTTCTTGTGTAAGCTTCCCATAATTGATATATATAGATATATATCAGTAACAATGTAAATGGTGTGTTGAAAAGTAATAAAATCAATCTTGATCTTTCATCACTAGAAGCATTAATGAATTTTATATTACAAAAATGTATAAAATTATTTATTTATTCATTTTCGTTGTAATAAAAAACATAAGCACAGTAAATTCCCATTACAAATAAGAATTCATCACAAACAACATACATATTTACCACTTACTTCTGACGCAACTCAAATTGAAATTTCTATAAAAAAAATAATCATCTTTTAATTCTAAAGACGAGAGTCAAAATCTAGAATATACTAATATGTGTTCTCTATAGATTTTCTTTTGCATTTGGTACATTTTCTCTGATTTCTTTAAAATATGTTTAAATGGTCCAAACCACGATTATATCTTGAACATAAAGGCAATTCTAATAAAATTCTTACTCTGAACTGCATAAATGTGTTTTTAAAGTAGAAATGTTGTCCCAGTAGGCGATTAATATTGCAACTTAAAAGGAGTGAGAAGGCCGACGTTAGTGCACGTCGAAGCAGTCGAAGAAGAGGTAGACAGACTCCTTGAAGCCAGGGCCATCCGAGAAGTCCAGTACCCAATCTAATATTCAGTATTTAGAATATGCTAATATGTGTTCTCTATAGATTTTCTTTTGCATTTGGTACATTTTCTCTGATTTCTTTAAAATATGTTTAAATGGTCCAAACCACGATTATATCTTGAACATAAAGGCAATTCTAATAAAATTCTTACTCTGAACTGCATAAATGTGTTTTTAAAGTAGAAATGTTGTCCCAGTAGGCGATTAATATTGCAACTTAAAAGGAGTGACATTTCATAGCAAATAATAATAATAATAATAATATTAATTAGAAACGAAAGAATTGTATGAAAGGATATTTTAGACTAAAACAAAATCGTTATAGTTGGTAGGCTACGTTAAGCATTTTTGTGAATAGATCCTGGAACAAAAATATCCTGGGACAGAAAGACATAAAGCATAATATATCATTCCCTTACACATGCTAAGAACCAGATGGGCATGGTTTGAGGCTGGGAAATAAAATGAAGGCGATGACCTTATTATTTTCTCTGTTAAATAAACAACTTAGGATGTTGGAGTATCTTTTATCTATTTTACAATGTGAACATATATCTTTATTGCTAACTTGTTCAATTACTCTTAATATATTTTCATAATGTAACTTGTTTAATTTATTGAGTTTGTCACTAAAAAAATGTATGGTTTATTTTTAAAAATATAATCGTTGTCTATTTTTTATTTTTTATTTTTTTTGCAAAAAAAAAAACGATAAATTGAACAAATTGTAGTTATCGGATTAACCTAATTTTTTTTATAAAAATTCACAAAGTGCCTGATAAAATGAACGGTTTGAATTATCAAAACGGGACCTATGATAGATTTCACAAGCCCAAATAACACCCTTCAATTCAAACGAGAGGGGATCCTCCTCTGATAGGGATATTATAAAGTTTATTCATTTCATTGAGATTAGAATTCTGCGTTAGTCACTTATTGTGGAATATTGTTCCCACCGTTCCCTGGTTGAATGTTTCTGTTAAAAAAACAAAAATAAAAACTATAAAAAAATCTTACAAGATGCTAATCATAGAAGGTAAATGAAGACAAAGGCAAACAAAAATGAATAAATTCTAATCTAGTATTTTTCCAAGCCTACAGGAAATACCATGTCAAAAGTTAAATGGGAGAAAAGGGGTTGTCACAGGGATAAATAAATAGGTGAAGAATTCTCCCCAGTTTAAAAGCTAGGTTGGAGGGTATTATTTGGTCTATGGAATTCATCACGGATCTTGTTTCAATTATTCGAATCGTTCATTTTGTTAGACACTTCGTATATTTCATCTACACAAAAATTAGATTGATCTAATAACTGTAATTTGTTTAATTTATTATGTTTGTCACCTAAAAAATGTATGATTTATTTTTAAAAATACAATTGTCTTCAATTTTTTGGTAAAAACGTGATAAATTGAATATGTTACGATTATTCGATCAACCTAATTTTTTGTGTGAATGAAATATACGAAATGTCTGATTAAATAAATTGTTTAGATTATCTAAACAAGGCTGTGATGAGTTCTACGGGCTCAAATAGCACATACTAGTTTAGATTTTGGATTGGAAGAGATCTACCTCCAAATAAATATATGCAAAACATTCCAACGTGGATGGGCCTACTAACTGTGTTAATTATTGATAAATAGAAAATAGATTATTTTAATTATTTTTTATTTTTTTATGAAACAATGTAAAAAAAAAATAAAGAGATGATGTGATTAAAAAAAAAAAAAAAACAATAAGTATATTATGTTAGTTGCTAACCAAACAATCCCATAGAGTCATTCAAGATGAAGTCTTATCACAAGTTTTTTTTTTTTTGGTTACAGGAAAATCCTCCCACTCTCCTGCAGGTCCAAGACAACGCCCTTTGAGGAGATCACCAGGGTGTCCTGTTGTCCGTTCCGAGTAAGAGACTATAACCTGGAAGCTTGTCCCGACCTCCCAAGGTAAGCTCCGCTTAAGTCAGGACTCGCACAGCGGGGGAGAATTAAACCCACGCCAAGTTGCTGATAAGGCATCCTTAAGGTCAACTTCCTGGAAGCTTGTCCCGACCTCCCAAGGTAAGCTCCGTTTAAGTCAGGACTCGCACAGCGGGGGAGAATTAAACCCACGCCAAGTAGCTGATAAGGCATCCTTGAGATCAACTTCCTAACCAAACTGTGCTACGCCTAGGAGATTGGCCCAGAAGAGAGTTGAACGCAGGACCTAGGGGCTTAAACCTCTCGTTTTTAAATTACGAGCTTGCTTTTATATCCTTCAAATAAAAAAATAAAAAATAATTAAGGATAGTCAGGGCCGGCCTGGGGTGAGGCGACTAAAGTGCTCGTTTCGAATCCCTAATTTTAAATAAAATTTATGATTCTTAATTAGGGAAGTATAATATATCGTGTTATTTTATAATTATTTTAATATTAATTTAATTTATTTATTTTCATATTTTCGTATGGTATTATTTTAATTACTTCAATATTAATTTAATTTATTTATTTTTATGTTGTCGTATGGTGTTCCTTTGATTCGTGTCCGATTCATATTTAATGTGAAAACTTTCACTTTTAGTTAACAATAACTTAGCAAGTGTATGGAGAGATTAAAATTTTTCCCATATGTTGAATTTTATAAAAATTTATTTCTACTAAATAAAATTATTCATAGAATGTTTGATTTTAATTCAATTGCATTTTTTTAATTAAAAAAAAATTGTACCTTATTACTATATATTTTTTTACTAGATTGACTCTAAAATAGGTAACAAAAAAATACATAAATTAAATGAAAAAAAGATACTAGCCTTAATTATTATTTTGCATACTTTTTTATTCAATTAAATGGAGTTAAATAAAATATTAAAAAAATGTCATGGCATCCCTTAGTGAATATTAAAATATGTAACCAATAATTTATGTTATTGAGTCATATCATACTTAGATTCATGTTAAAAAATAGTTAATTCTAACTTGCTAATTTTATAGATTGCTTGAGTAGTGTTGAAAATTCCCATCTTTACTCCCAATAAATTTTAGTTATTATAGCATTGGCAAGCTAAAAAATAAATATTCGATTCAACCAATTGAAATTCAACTATTATACAAATATATGTTATCTAAATTTTGTTAAATTATAATACAATAGAAATAAATTTTTATCTTTTTTATTTTATTCAAACAATTAAAAATTTTACCTCCCCTAATAACTCAAGGCCGCCCTGAGAGCAGTGATATGAAAAAATTATTATCCTTGTGAGATCTATATAACAAGATTCATATTTGACATAAAATTATGTAAGCAATAAAGATAAGAAATTTGCGAACCTTCATAATTTTATGCGAGCACACGCACCCCCAAAAAGAAGAAGAAGAAACTTCATATTTTAATAAGGATAAGCTATTTCAAAAAACTGGACCAAATCTTACATTTTAGCTTAAACTAAGTTAAAAGCAAAAAAATAAAGGGATAATTACGTTTTACTCTCTTGTGGTTTAACACGTTTTCACATTACCCCTTGACGTTTATAAATGTACTCATAAACAAGCTGTGGTTTTGACTAAAGTGCAAAAGTGACAGAAACCAATAAAGTTAACAGCGCGTGTGTAACACGCACTAGAGAAGCGTGGCTGCGTTGGTTTTAAGTGTTTTGGCGCCAAAATGGAAGGGTTAAACGACCAATTTGGCCCTAATTTGGCCGACTACTTGCCTA